AAACAAAACCAACCAAAAAAAAAAAAAAAGAAGAAGAAGAACAACTTATCGGAATACTCGTTAACTTCATTTTCACTCAATTGCTGCATTAGGTCTTTGTTTAGGCTTGATTAGGGAACCATACTCTTCCAATAAAAAATGCATACTTTCATACTTCATGTCATAAACACAAGTATGTATGCATTTTTTGGTAAGAAATTATGGCTTCCTAATTGAGCCTAACAACAGCATTTGTGTTCTGTCAAGTAACAAACAGTTAACTTTAAAAAGAAAAACGAAGGAAAGGAGTGAATTTTATATTTTAGGCATGAAATCCTTACCGAAGCAGCGCAAGTGCATATATGTAGGAGGATTAAAACTCCCCGTTGATACCAACACAACATAAAGCTTCCCCCTGAATGAGTAAAAGGACGCAAATATCTCAAATAAACTTCATAAATAAAAGGACACCAGTACAATACCAGTGTACAACACGGTGTTGAGTTAAGAATATATGATAAAAGTTATTTATGTTTAATATCAAACCTAACTCCAAAGCAAAAATAATATAAAAACTATCATCACGAAGCATAGATTTTCGCCATGTCAGTATCCGAAAACTGAGAATCTGCCGCTTAATCTCAACCCGTTTTGAATGAATATATAGTGAGGGATATAAGTGAATTAAAGAGAATTAGAATTCATAACAAGCCAAAAGATAAATTTATGGACAAAAAAAGGGGGGAAAAAAAAAAGAAAAACATAATGCAACGCTTACTTGCTCCCTGAACTTGATAAACCATCTTTATTGGTACAATTCAATGATAATTTATCCAACGGCAGCTCTACATCTACAACACCCACATAAACACGTCGAGATTTTAGCGCAAAGCTTAAATCTTGTAAACATTCGAGATTTTACAAATGGAAGGCAGGGAAAGGAACAAAACCTGGACTTGGAGCAGCCATTAAAATGGGATTCTTACAAGCTTCTATCAAGCAAAACCATGAAAGATTACAATCAAGTACGAATGCAGCTAATTTTCAGTGTAATCTGCAAGCTCCCAAATCCCAATCCAAAAGCAGCGAAATTCTTGATTTTTGAAGAAAATGAGAATATTGTTATGAAATTACTTTCAGGTCGATCCAATTTCTAGGCTTTGCACAGCCGAGTGTGGTGGCAGCGTTCGGCGACTCCGACAAACGCACGGTGGTGTACTAGGAAAGAGCCGCCGTGTGTTTTGTATGTGTACAGTGTAGAGTCGTGCTGGAAAATGGGAACGAAAGATTTAGTTGGGCCTTACTAAAACTTGGTCTGTGGCTTGTTGGCACAAGACTTGGGCTAAAAAAGTTTAAAAAATTATTGGGCTCATGCAATAGGCTAACATTTGTCCGGTAATAATACAAGCCCACATTAAATGACAAGCTATGAAGCACGGAGTACGGATAGTTTCGTACGGACATGTATTATAACTGAAGTATCATAAGGTGTTCATTTAAAATAATTCATGTGGATATCTGAATTATGCACGTTTTTTTTTTTCCATTTTTTTGAGTAGTAGTATATTTTAATGGACGATGAGTCAAGAAAACCTAAATAAAACGACTGGATTTAAATTAACAAGCAGATATATGCAGCTTGCAAAAGCATATACCATCAAAAATAAGATTCATTTGTACAAGGCTTAATTAAGCACGTTTTCCACATTTGCTATGCATGAACAAAACAAAGTAGCTAAACTAGCAGTTCTAGAAGCTTCTAAATGCAGTCTGTGATACATTCTGAGACGAGCGGTGGCTGTGATACCTATCAACCGATTTCCCTAACATCTCTTGATCTTGTAAGTATGATTGAGTTAGCTTCTCTATCTCTTCATTCGTCTCCATAAGCTCCAAATCAAGTGTTTCCAGCAATCGCAATTTCTTTGAGCTTTGTAGAGGAGTTACAGCTCTGTTTTCCACCGGAAATACAATCACTGGATCCCTGAAATTTTATAGAACGGAGAAAATATAATCGATCTTCATATTTGGAGATGTATGGATGAAGAAGGTAGCGTAAATACAAGGTTTGGGAAACGACAGATGGAGATAACTGGAGATTTTTTGCAATTTTCGGTTGGACCTTAATTGCTAAAATTTGAATATATTCTTTTGGCATTTTTTCGTGCAAGTGTAGTGTTGATTTGTGAAGCTTTACATCCAGAGATTTAATGTCTTTCTTAATTGGGGCACTAAATCCGCAAAAAAATGAGATGAAATTGAAGCTCAGTGAGTTTTTCTAAGTACCACAAATCAGTTTCAGATTATCAGATACCACAAAAGATGTAACAAATGCTTCTAAATAATGGTAAGAAAATAAATAAGAGTAAAAATTAGGAAACCATAGTAACAAAAGACTAGAGAAAGTTTATACCAATTGCCAAGAGAGACCAATCCATTTCCTTTTATGATGCTTCCATCCATAGACACAGCACCATCTTTAATGCAGGATCTTGCCTTCATCATGCAATCCCTGTCCTTGTAGACTTGAAGCTCACCAAAAAGACGGTAAAATAATGTTTCCCGTAAGCCACGACCACTCTTTGATCTCCACTGCAAATGACTCGTTTCTACTGTTATCATGTTAACGGCATACCCCAAAAACCCCTGTGGCACATCACCTGTTGGCAATTTGGGCAGCTGCATGGAAAGTAGATTTTGGGGGACACTGACAATAACTTGTTTAATTTAGTATTAATGGAAATGGGTAAATTATACGTGCTTTGTCCAAAAAAGAATGCTACCGGTACCTAATGTCTTCGAGGCACAACGCCTGATACCCGCCGATTATAGATTGTCCGACTTTATTTGCCAACTCGTGGACGGTATTTGAGTCAAGATTAAATGCTTCTGCATAGTTTTCACACACAATGGCAAGCATTAAATCATCACCGAGATACTTGGCCAACACCCTGCATCAAGAATGAATATAAGGTTATAGATCACAATAAATCTATGATGTGTAAATATATATACATATATATTTGTATTGAGAGAGAGAGAGAGAGAGAGAGAGAGAGACCTGCTAAGCTCAATGCTTTCAGTTGTTCCAAGGAGTGCCACAATACCAAGCATGCCACTAAGTCTCGACTCTAATGGTTCCTCAAGCAATTTGCAGAAGACAGCGGCTACTGATTGAGTGTTGCTTTTGATCTGTTCACGTATCCAATCTTGACTGCACATGCTTGACACATTTTCAGGATAATGATCTGAATGGGAATTAAAAAGAATAAAAAAAATGATTTATCATGGAATGTAATATTCATTTCAAGTGGTTCTGTAAGTTCAAACTATTTCTTGCACTGGAACCACATATATGTGCGCGCATCTCACAAAATTAGTTCTCCGTAAGATGTCATCAAGAAACATATTCCACTCAAGCTACATTATTTTGGGGTGCAATAAAGGTAAAATGGCGTGGATAGTGAAAAAAGAAAAAAATATATGCTTGGAGCCTAGAAAGAACTCCTGGTTGTAGCTGGTAGATGGACTTCCATTTCAATTGTTTGATAGTTCTTGTCTGGGTGTAATATGAATTTCTGGATATTTCAATTATTAATTTCTATTTACAGTAAATTATAAGTCTAGAGAATATAAATCATGAAATGTTTGTGCAGCACATGTGCAGTGATATAAAGCATGGATTGAGTGATTAAACAAGGTGATACACAACTACTCAAATAAAGATGTGAACAAATATTTCTGGAAATAAAAAATAAAAAAAAAATAAAAATCAGTAAAGCCTGAAAACCTTGTAAATCTAGAATCTGTTGCTGAATGAGTGACTTCGTAGTGTTTAGCATCTCCAACTTCCTCTCATGTTCAAACACTTTTAAGCCCCAATTGGCCATGTCAGTTTCAATCTCCTGTATAAAGAAGCTCAACTCAGAAATGGAAATTTGACAAAAGGTACAAACCCCTAGGCCCTATGTGAGTTCTTCATGAATCTTCGTGCTTTTAATGAACGTAAACTTTCAAATTATTAGCAATTCTGAGTTTACCTCCAAATTCCCCATTTCTTGTGAAGCCATATCCTGAACCGGCATTACGTCCAATTCTTTATTTTGAACACGAGTATCCTCCAATTTGAGATCTTTTTGAGGCAGGCCACTGATGGGCAACGCAAAGTATTCATTGGCAACAGGTGGGGAAGAATCTTTATGTTCAGCTCGTATATCCTTCAACAATGGTGACATTGGGGGAATATGTAAATCCTTCAACAAATGTGAAGTCGGGGTAATCCGTAAATTTCCGCAAGAATAATCTTTAAAAGAAGGTGAAGTTGGGGGAATCTGTAAATGTTTGCAAGAATCTCTAGGAGATTGTGTTGGATTCCCAACAAAATCCTCATAATTCAAAGTAACTTCGCAATTCTCCTCCACGACCTCATTAACATGAACCTACAAACAACAACACGTTGCATAAGAACCTAGAAACAAAAAAAAAAAAAAAAAGGATATAAATTATTTAGATTTTTTGGAACCTCAATCGTCAAGTTTAGTTCCGGATAACGCGAATGAGTTGCCGAAAATGAGAAAATCCCTCCTGTTTGCGGTAGAGGAATGGAACGAATAGTACATCGTCCATGACGGAAGCTGTAACAGACAAACTCTTCTATATCCAATGAATTCGATTTAAGTGTAAGAGTATGAGACCTCCCATGTTTTACTTCATCATGAATACTCTCATCAATATTGCCTTTAGAATCAATAACCTCAAACACAACATTCTCCAATGTCGAACCCGCTTCATAGTTCTTAAAGACCTGCATTGGACGAATAAGAATGACGTGAATATATAAAATAAAAAGTAGAATTAGAGAATGAGAGAGAACTGTTTACAGTACTTAAAATTGAGAAAACTAAAACGTACAAACCTTCAGCACAGACTGCAGCTTTCTTATTTCAGTACAGAAGTCAAGCTGTAAGATGGTTTTCTCTTCAGATATAACAGTAAGGGAAACTGCACAAGAAAAAATAATCAATGACAGAATGGGTGACAATTTCGTCATGAGAATTGATGGAAGAGTAAAGAAAGCAATTTCCATAATATTTTCATGCGAGAAAAAGAGGGGGGAAAAATAGATGAAAGAGGATAAAGCAGCCAACCATCTTTTCCATATCCCCTGGAAACTTTTAGAATATTGCTCAGATCAACATATCCATCAGCATTCACCTATCAGTTGAATGGAGTTATGATAAAGAAACCAAAAATGGCTTCATCAGTGAGATGGAGTGGATACACATAAAATCTTCAAAGATGCATCATAGATGAAGGAGATTACCTTTTTCAGATGCTTCCCATCACCATTGATATCAGCTCTTCCTTCTTGAAACGAGAACCCATCTACACTCAACAAAATGACATCCCCTTCTTTAGCATGGTTTCCATACTCATCAATGACCTGCATGAGAAGAATGTTGTTGAACATCGAGTAATAATTACTAACTAAGAGCACAAGTGTAAATAAATTAAAAGATCAGGTACCTCTAACATGAGATCCTCAATAATCTGGTCTGGTATCAAATTTCTCTTCAGTTGCCGTGGATGTACATTGATTGTTTGTGGAGTTCCAGGTAAAACTGCACACACAAAGAAATTCAGGATTGCTAATAAACAGGAAGTTAATTATTTTCTCTCTTTTGAAATTGGAAATTACACACGAAAACAACGTACGTTACCTCGACATGGGAAAGACAAGGAGAAAGCTTTATCAATGGTGCATATGTCTAAAGTGGCTTCATAGTCTGGTCTAATATCATCTAACACAGTGCTTTCGGCAACAATATCCTACAAGATTTCGAAGCAATAAGTGGCGGCACCTTTCAGTGAAAGTAAATCCAGGAGTTGCCTAACACTACCTTAATTTCCATAATTGACTTGTCAGTTGCGAGAACCACTTCCATACTGCGTATGTGAGCAATAACTGTACTATTGGAGCTGAGCTTCGAAGTTAGTTTTGGAACACTAGTGAATACAACGCATTTTTGATTTCTATCACAGCACATCACTTTAAGAGGTTCAGTACAGGAGCCGACCCTGCACAACAATCAGACTGATATAAAAAATAAAACTGCAGAGAGAGGTTCAGTACATGATGCACCATTCACGCTACTCACCGAATTGTGTAGGGTTCATCCAGATTATGACTTACAACTTCCCAAGAACCAACTTCAGTTGATGCCTGAACTTGCACAACTTGTTCAAACCGTACATCCTTCAGTCCATTCTAATAAATTATGTTTTAAATGTATCAGTGATTTGTCAATCTAGAATTTCATCTCGTTATAACTGGAAAGTTGAATCATATAATAACAATTACCACGGCAAATGAAAGGGTATAGAAACCGGCTTTCTCGGATTTTTTTCTCAACTTCACTTGAAATAAGTATAAGCCATGAATCGCATTATGTGATGAAGGTGGTCGGCGCATAGACAAAATATTATCAACCTTTTTAACCTTTTTACCACCAGCTGTGAATGTGATTTCTAAACTCATCTCATGCTTATCTTTAACAATGAACTTTTGATCCAAACTCTTAGGACAATTTCCAGAATCATAAGCTCTTGGACGAATGACAGCGACAATGTTCTCAGGTAGAGGATCTCCAGCTTCTATAACACTAGGCAAATCCTGTAAATTAAGTGGAATTAATTTTGCTTTTTTAAATTTTATAAAGTAAACTATTTGTTATTATTTCATTCCTCATTGTCTTAGGAGATCAATGAGGGCACTGCATTGGATATAAGTGATATAACAGTCAAAACAATTAAAAATAACATAAAATTAATATCCTTACTTAGAGTTATCAACCTTTTCTCTTTTAGAAAATTCATGCAAAATATAAATATTATAATTGAAGCGTACAAACAGAGGCAAAGAAAGCAGTTTACAAATTTGAATGAGCAGGTTATACTAAGGTACTTCCTCCGTTTTGCTATATATGTTGCTTTTCAAAACAATTTTTTCTTTCATCTGTCAATTGCGCAAAGAGTTGCCAAACTAACCTCCCCGTCAATATCCAATTCTTGGCAATTTACATGGCTTAGTAACTCAATTGCAGATGGCAGTCTCTGGTGGTAAGCAGCAAGCCTAGTCTGCCATTCAAGCTCATTAGCCGGCACAAACTGCAAGCAGGCATCAAAATTTTTATCATCCCATAACAATGAAGACGAAAAAAAAAATAAAAAATAAAAAATCAAAACAGCCGAAGAAGCTGGTGACCTTTTCCGAATCAATGACCCTGATTGGTAGCACCACTGAATCACGAAGATCAATGGTCTGACTTCCATTTTCAAGCACAAGGTGGCAACCTTTGTCTTCTTGTAAGCCAAGTGGTCTATAAGATGAAAAAGATTAGAGAACTGGAAGTGGTTCGACTTTAATCAACTAACAAATGGGGAAAAACTAATATTTGATTAAAGCACATACCTGCAAATCAGACGACCCTCACCTAATGTGATTTATGAAAAGGATTAGATGATGAGAAAATAAATGATCAGCCTAAGTTAAATAAAGCAACTTTGAGTGCCAATGAATTGGTTAATGTGCTGCTCATCAAGAATACACCACACCACAAACCCGGTAAATTTCCTTCACAATAACTTTGACCGATATTACCCAATAACTGTCCACTAATGCACTTACCACAAGTATCTCCAGAAAGCCCTTCAAGGATTATATATTCCAGTGTGACAAATTCATTGTTATTGTGGAAACCAGCACAGGCTCCCTTAAAAACTTTGATTTTTTGACCAGCTGTCCAGTCTTTTCCTCTTCTCTTGATCTTCTCGTGAACCCTGACGACTAGCACAATAGTAAGACATAATAATCAAACTAGTTGAACAGGGATAGAAATCATAATACCACTAGAAGAGGGAGAGGGAATCAGAAGTAATGCTCGTGTAAGCTTACCAGTAGAAGATAGATCAAGTTTTTTTATTTTCGATGGAAGAATAACAAGGGTAGGTTCATCGAGGCCACCATCAATTTCTTCATCATAACGACCGTGCATTTCTAAAACCCAATCTGTGTATTGCTTCTCAAGCTGAGAGAGAGTCAATTTCTTTCCATCTCTACTGATTTCAATTTGCACCTCTGCATGGCGAAATGGTGAAAATTAATATAATGAAGAATTCCATACATTAAAGAGAAATATACTATCATGTTGCGTGCTTTCAATGAGAGGATTTTTTACGAGTCAAAAAACTTGTTTCCTATATAAGAATGAATTTTAAAGTTACCTTTTTCATTTTCAGGTCCTATGTTTCCAAAGCCTTTTAATGCCTTGGTGTATGGGTGGTGTTGAGCCAAATCTGTCTGAATTACAGAAGTAAAAAAAAAAAGGACTGGTTTAAATATAAAAAAAAAAATGGCCACGCCATATTCAAATAAAAATAAATAAATAGCTTGTCTGACAAAAAATTTCAGTTGAGAGTCAAAAGCTTACAAAATATATATAATTTCCAATATTCTAAAATGGTTCAACTGCATACCTTGTGCGGAGTTGGATTGAAGCCTGAATCTGTCTCTGCAGCCAATAATCATGCCTTGCTTAACATATATATGTTGTAACAGTTGAAAATGAATGTTGTGAGTCCAGATTTACATGGGCTACTTACAATTGCAGAAACTTACCTATAAAGCATTTAACTCTGGAGCAGCATCTTTTTAACATTTGGCCCTTTTCACCTTTTTTCAGCTTCGGCACCATAAATGGAAGCACTGCCTGTAGACATCATTACACTATGATCCACGGACAACATATACTGCTGTGATTATAAATTAAGGTTTACCATTGTTTTTAACTTCAAGACATCTAATACACCGAATCTAAGCAAAACAAGAAATATGATATGTTACAACAAACCCATCGGGTGTCTGGCAGGAGACGGCCCAACCGCCTTACAGATACACGACTAAAGCTTTCAAAGCTTTCCTTGATCCCACAACCAGTTGAGTTTAACTCCCCAATGATTTTATCAATACTTTCTTCACCCTGAAGACCAACCAGATGCAGAATTTAGTGTGTAAACCATTTTTTACTAATTCTTCACGAGACAAAGATAACAAAGAAATATAACAACACCTCAACAATTGGGAAGTAAACACATGTCAGTCTGGCATTTGCTTCTAGAAGCACTCTTTGACCTGGAGATTTCAAAGAAAATGTTAGAGCTCGTCTTACACAAATGAATTACAGCCACATTGGTGGTCATATAAGACAACTTTACAGAGAAGAGAAGAGCATCACAAAACAATTGTTTTTAAGGTAACAAAATACTTGGGCTTACTTTGACCATGCACCAGAGAAGGATCCTGGCTAATGCTAAAATGAAGTTGCAATACAAAGTTTGGACCATTGCACGAATGCCTGTTTGTGGTAGCAACTTCCCCTTCCCATATTTCAGCCAAATCTTCCCCATTAACCTTAAAGTTATCGCTAGTATTAGAATCACAACATTGTGTGCAATCTATATGTGAAATCAAGATAAGTGGTTACAGCTTGCCATTATAGCCCAACAAACTATATAAAATTAAAGATTAGAGAGAACCTAATAAAAAAATCAGTACATTTATAGGAATATTATACTCACCCCGTTCAGTTAAAACTAAATCAAACCTAGTGTTGTTGCCTTTTTTTGGTAGTTTTGAAACTTCTTAAGGTTTTAGAGGACACCACGAATCTCTAAGGCAATATTTATAATTATCCATTAATACTATTTCTGTAACGGACTAAACTCTCGTTTTCGTCAAGAAAATCCTCGAGGTTTACAACCATTGATAGACTTGATCATGTTCTAGTCATCCAGAAATCTTTACATTTTCCCGCTCTTTAGTCACTATGGTCTGATCAACAGTCACATATAGCAAAAAATTGATAATTAAACTATATGAGATCAAATTTTCAATATAGGTGACCTGGTATGTACATGCATACTATTTCATGAATCATTTGAAGGCAGAGACAGTACAGATGTCAAAACCAGATACCATAAACATCAAAATGTATTGCTGGAAAAAGTTAGTACTAGGAAATGAAGGGTATTAAAACCCACATCCAAAAAAAGAAACTTGAATGAAAACAAACAAGTATCACTCAACAAATGTAGTAGGAAACAGTTCAAACGTCGTCAACAGACAACAGACAACCAAGATAAATACCCAGAAATAGAAACACAGTCTAGAAAATGACCTGAAACACCACAGGTCGGCTTGTTTTTCCAGACATTTCATCACACTGTTCAATCAGACAAAAGGAATTAGTAGTAAACTTACGGGGAGCAACATAGACATGCTTCTTTTGCAAAATGATTAAGGAGAAGGATCCATCTAAGAATAATTCAGAATCCTGTTTCTGCATATTACTTAACCAGTATAAAACAAATAAAACAGTAAGAGCTCTGTGCAGTTAAACCTGGATATATGGGAAGTAAATGTCCTTCAACTTGCACTGCAGATGCTTTACATCCTGAGTTTTCATTTTAGGCTCAAAAATTTCAACCTGATAGCAAGTATAATGACATCATTAACTGTCAAATTTAAATTCTTAACTGAACAAGCTTAAAAAACAAATGTTATTAGTATGTAGATAGCTCTATTGCCATCCATGTGCTTCTGAAAAATCCTAAAAAAGCCTACAATATTTCCTTAAGCAGATTGATAAAATATATATGCTTGCTTTAATAGCCTGTGACAACACAGATAAGCACATATATCATGATCACTACAAGCTTGTTACCTTGATAGCAAGTGATTGAACAAACAAGCGCAGCTGTTATGATCAGTGATTGGTCTATTTTAGGTAATGAATTTAAGCATATCAATCTTAAGACATGGACAGCTTCTACATGCACATCATGCAGTTGAAAGATGTTCAACAATTTAGGAGAATCATGCATTTCAATCATGCTTTTAGTAATTAGAAATTTGAGAAAGTCCTCTACTCAATGAGATCAACTCCTAATAGAATGACATGCACAGCAAATAAAAATTATCATTGTCGAACATATAATCATATGAAAGATAATGAGACACCACTTGCGTCAAGGAAAGATTAGAAATAGTAAAAGACATCGATAAATGGCTGGTGGAGGAAATAGCTATAGATTCTGAGGGGTAAGAGAATACCCGTGAACCTAGTTTATAAACATTACAAGATCAGGGAAAACCCACCTTCGTGAAGCTCCCATGAGGGGAGTTCTTCTTTTCATCTTCAGAAGGATCTCTCATCCCACCTTTTGTCTTCACCAAAACAACATAAACCTTCAGTATGCAGTTACGAAGAAAGATTAATGAAACCCATAAAGGGGGAGCAATAAGTCAATCACCTTCCAACAATTCTCTGAGCTAGATGCATTCACTAATGCTTCTCTTTCCAAATGTAATGTAAATACTTTGCTGCAATTCTTCGTCTTTGATGAGACAACAGCACGTCTTGGGACAGTAGCAAGAATAAATAAACATTTTATTCATAGTTTATAGTAGCTATAAAAAATAAAGAAAAATAACTACAGAAGCTCTACCTGCCCAGACACATGGTCGCGACAGGACCCCCATATCCAAACATGCCAAAGAAAGGCTGTGATCCCAAAATAATCATATTAACATGAGACTTCCAGAAATACGTGAAACTTTCTCATTGCCACCCGACACAGTATTACCATGGAATATCCAGTTTTCATTAAAGCTTAGTCAATCAAAATTTTGAATTTACAACTTCAATTTCATTCAGCTGCAGAAATAGGTTTGCGTAATGTGAACCTAATGAAACTGAAATGAAGTACTTTAAGGAAAAAAATCCAAAGGGAGCAGGAAATCATTCTGAATAACCTGCTAGCCACTCAAATACCCTTTATTCTGCAGATATTTATGCCCAGAAACATTAATTGCGTATCACTATTACCTTCAAGTATGGAGGTTTGCCCCCCACAGCTTGTCCTCGTACTGACCTGTGCAGAGATGCACCCATTTTTCCCCTGGAAAAGAAAATGGACCAAATAGACAGAAGAAAGAATCAACCAACAAATAGTATGAAAGCATGGGAAACTTGTAAAAGCATAAACATATTTCTGCTGCACAGCATAATCATATGATGGCATCTGTCAATGAGAATAGATAACTTCAAACTACAGAGGGCCAAAAACAGAACAACTTCAAGTTAAAACTATAGGACAACATAGCATCATTGTCATGCTCGAATTCACTGATCAAGAGCTAATTATACAATTGACAAATTTTCCTACATTCCATCAAACAGATGGGTAAATCCGGTACGAAAGAAGAACACTAGGAATAATAACAAAGAAGTACTACAAACACTTCCCAACTAGTAGCGATGGATTTATTGATTGCTGGTTTAGCGTTAACAAATATGGGAACTTATCTCAACTCCTAAAGTTAGCTACACAAGGCTATAAAGAGAAGAAAAATGATTATCAATCTATTGTCTAGGGTGACAATGTAAAGTATCTTACCACTTAACTAGATTCCCATCAGTGCCATCCATTCCTGGTCCGGAATCAAAAATGGAAATTTTTTCTGTATGCCATTCCACACTGCAAATACACAAATTAGTGATCACCTAACAATATGACCACTTAATACAGAAGGCATATGGTGCTTATGACTGAATAAGGACTTCAGCAATTTCTCCCGGAACATCATTGCAGCAGAACCACACATAATCAGGGTCTAAAAAAGCTCCATATGCTGGAAAAAAACTGCTTAGTCAATTCACTTTATTGTTCATTCAATACTCTCTTTAAAGAGTGATAAGTAAATAGAATACAGTAAAATTTTAAAGAATCAATTGCCCTGCAGGTAGAATTCTTGAGGCTTTCAACCCGTATGGAAGAAGCATGGATTTTTTTTATATTGCATTCCAATAAAACTTGTCTGGTGTATATCCTTCAAATCGACATATTTTCATGATTTTACTACACAAATTTTGAAGATCCAAAAAGGCAAGTCCATAATGGCGTGTCAAGTTTAATAGTTTGTTCCCTAGAGCATCTCATCTGCTGATATTATTAGATATGCAGGACAAGGACTTAAAATGCACATTCATACCTTATAAATTTATCATCTCCTCTCCCATTAGACCACAAAGCTTGCAAGGAATTATCCTGATAAAAAATATAAATGGATTTAGTGTCCCGTTGTTAATAACAAACAGAGAAAACAAAAATATCACATGCTCACAATCAAGTCTGCAAGAGCAGTTTCAAATGTATAGTCATCAGGTAGTTCCTTCAATAAATCGGTATCTGGAGTAAGATCCCACATGCCCTGTATAGCAAAAACAGGAAAAAATCAATAACAGCACTCCGCCTTATGTCCTTAAGAGCGCCTGGATAGTCCCTACGTCATTGGACAACAAATGTCCGAGACCAAATTGAGAACGTACCTCATATGCATCCGGTTTAGCTGACCCGTCCTACGGGAAAGAATAAAGATGATATAAACACATTGAAATATATATATATATATATAATATTAGAACAACAAAATCTTCCGAAAACAGTAACAACAATAACAGCATACATGAAGACATAATATGCGCCACTGGTTAGGTGGAAAATTGTGGAGATCAATTTTAACACTGAGCTTCTTTGCATCCACACCCGTAAAATGAAGGTCCGGGTACTTCCAGTTAATTTCTCTCTTCAGTTGTTCTGAACTTTTTTGATTTACCACAGTTAAATATTTTCTCTTCACCGCATCTAGAAACTGCTTTATTGGCATTTCATTCCTCTGCTCACTAATTTTGAGCTCCAGAGTCGTGGCATTCGGCATAAGTATGCGAAACTTACAAATCTTTGTCTTATTAGACAGACCATCTTCTACTTTCACATGTCCGAATGGACTCTTTCTTGGCCTCTCTGAGCTGGAATCTTCTAGAGGCCTCTTGCTCGCTGCTTTGTGGGGTGTATTTGAATACATCTGTCACTCATCAACAAAATAGAACCAAATAAGTTTATTACTCAAATGTTCAGTAGAAAGATGAAGACTCATACCAACACCTGAACAACTTGAAAGATAATAAGAAAAATTGAATCCTCTCTCTCCCCAGATCACAATCCTCAACCAACCCACTGAAAATAATTCCTTACAGAGCAGCTATACGACCTCCAAACCAGCAGTAACAACTTCACACATATGGTATGCGCATCTGTTTACACTAATAACAGCACATCGGCACAAACCTCAACATACAAACGTTTGTCATCTTCGTCCTCCACAAGTTTTCCATGGTCAAATGATTGGTGCTCAAAGGGGGAATAAAACAGAAAAATAAATTTAAAAAACAAAAAACGAAAGATGAGATGCCATTAACAAATACCTACCGTGGAGCACAAAAATCACTCAAGCACATAAAGCGAAAAAAAAAAAAAAAAAGTAACAAGCCTTTGAATATCCCGAGTAAAACCCTTCAGCGTGCATGGAACAAACACAAAAGACAGCCTCTAGAAGACGATCATATAAAACACACCAAAATATCGCTCTAAAAAATGAACTTGTTCTGGAAATTAGCTTACATTTTTACTTAGAGGAACAGATGGAAAACCATGAAAGCTCGAAATTTGAAGCCTTGAGCTGTCCTTCTTCTTCTTCTTCCTTGAGCTCGGATCAGATTTGAAAGAGATGAAGATAAATACTGCGTGTATGTGTGAGTGAGTGAGCGTGTGAGAGTGCGTGTGTGTGTAAAGTAGTAAAATACAGTGAGAAGTGGAAACGACAGTGGCAGAAAACAGTGGAAATTGAAGAGACGCCCCTTTTAAATTCTGTTTTGAATAGAACATAAAATAAAATAAGATTAAGTTGAATATAAAAGATACAAACAAAATTTTTTATCATTAATGTTGGACTTTCATATTTACATAAAAAAAAATATTCATTTGTGTTCATACAGTTCATAGAAATAATGAAACTTTCGTGAGGTCGTTAAGATTTGAGCTCGACTCGATTTGATTCTTTTGATAAACCAGTAAATCTCATTTAAGGCTTATATGGCCTTCACTCCAAAAATCTTTAAATTAAAACTAATTTCTACCAACTAGACCAATTTTGCTACTTGGGCTCAAAAGATTTTAAGTAGCATATTAGAAAATGTCACTTCCAAGTTTTATTGACCATTTTTCCCATTGATAATAGTTAAATTAGAGGTGTAGTGTAAATGCGGAGGCACCTCGAGCTTGAGCATTTTGTGAGTTGAGTCGAACTTGACTATTTAACTAAATGAATTCGAATTCAGATAATTTATCAAATATTAAAGAGTTGAGTTTGAGCATAATTTAAGTTTTAATAAGTTAAATTATATAAAAATATAGTATATTTTATGTCTTAAAGAATCCAACTAAACTTGAACCTTAATTAAAAGAGGTGCGAAAGAAATAATCGGTGTTGACTGACAATATAATTCTTTTTACAACTTTTACATCAAAATTTAACTTAATTAAATGATATCAATCAATCATTGTCACAAATCACATCAACTTTAATTCAATATTCATTCACTTTACGTTTTAACTCATTTCATACTCTTACATCACATCAACCTTAATTATTACTTTTAAAATATTATTTAAATACAAACTCATAATTTCACTTAATACAATCACTCCAACATTCCTAGGGCTTGTTTAACTGGAATTACATAATATTATTACTTTTAAAATATTATTTAAATACAAACTCATAATTTAAGTTAATACAATCACTCCAACATTCCTAGGGCTTGTTTGATTGGAATTATATACTAGGACTAAATTAATACGTGATGGTTGGATTACAAAGTATAAACTTATTTAATTTGTGTTTGTTATTCTTGATTTGTGGTTAGGACAAGATAATGTTATACACTCCTAACATTTGATTCTTTTGATTACTAAAGGGACAAATATGCTCGACGTTTAATTTTGTATTCTACAAAATTATATAATTGAATAAATTGGGATAACAAAAAATTACAAAATTATATAATTTAATTCACTATTTTTTCCTTAGTGAACAAGAAATTGCCAAAAACTGGCCCTGTGCCATTGGCCCATAGAGGACAAAAATGTGTACCAATAAAGGCTTTGGGGAGATATTGGCGGGAGCGGCTGACGAGGACAGTGGGACCCATGGACCCTTTAAATAAAAATCATTTTCCAGGAAAAGAAGGATAAAGCCAAAACAAAAAGCCTACGGCAAACCCGCCTCCGGCAATAGTCAATGCCAACCCATGTGGGCTTAAGCTCCAACTGCGCAACCCAAATCGAAGTCTGTATATGACAGGCTAAGTAAATTGGGTTGAGCCCAATATGATGTAGCTTCACAATTACTCAATTTCCTATCAGTTCGGCCCAAATAAAACAGTTTGTTAAATGTTGTGTTTTCGAAGATGTTAATAAGAGTGTGAACTGAAATGAATCGTTCGTAAGTTCGGAACTAGTTTGATAAATAAATCAAGTTTGAGCTCGAGTTTGTTTAAGGCTCGTTAGATTTTAATAAAGCATTTCTGCATAATTTCAACATAACATGGCTCGTAAAACTTTAATTCGATATAGCAAATCGTCGGTGAAACCCTTCCTATTAACTTGACTCGTAAAATAATAATTTTAGAACAAGCTATATATGTATACAAGTATGATGAAAGTGAAAAAAATCAAAAATAAATCATAGGCGTTAGATGTGATGTATAAATGCTCGAGGTGCGACCAAAGGCTCAAGCTTTGGTAAAAAACGCGCAATGGAATTTATATAAATATGGGTACTTTTGATTTTTCGCTTGGAAACATTTTCAGCAATTCGCAAAATATGCACTATTGTGTAGTTTTGAGAACCATTAAATGTGCAGACAATGGCAATTACGTAGTTTCATAAATATAACTTAAACGATATTTTTAAGGAGCAATCCACATTTAATATTGTGAATTTAACTTATCATTATTGTGCATTTATTTAACTTTTAATAAATTACATATTTACCTCAATACCTAAATTGCAATATAATTTCATTACGAATAAGTCCCTAGGACTAATCTAACAAAAATTGGTACCCGTTCGCGCCCACCGCGCAACTTGTCCTTGCCTTCGATGAACCGTCTGGCTATCGTCACCCCCGCAAAGATCTCGTCAATCACCCGTCTCCTCACGAAGACGACCACGAGCCGTTTGGCCTTCATGAAAACAACTTCAATCGGTGCTCAGGTGCCGATGGACCTGAGGGTTCCAAAAGAGAGAAATCATCCCACGGCATCATCAGGACCTTCGCAAACGAGGCCACGTTGTCCTCTCGGTTATATCACAAGCGGCGTGCAAGTCGAGGACCATCCGAACGGAGGGCTTGTGCGTGTGTGTGTGAGAGAGAGAGAGGGAGAGAGAGAGTGAGAGAGAGAGAGAGAGAGAGAGAGAGAGAGAGAGAGAGAGAGAGAGAGAGAGAGAGAGAGAGTGATACAGATGTATGATTGGATATGGATTGAACTAGTTTTTAATTGGTATTTTTTAACTATAGTTATTAGTAGTTTTGGAAAAAAAGTGGTATGGTTAGTTGTTAGGAAATATTTAAAATAAAATAAGTAAATTTGATTTGATGTAAAAGTATGAGATAAATGATTGAAAGTTGTGCTTAGTTAAAATTATGTGAGTGAATGAATAGTGAATTAAAGTTGATGTGATGCGTAAAAATAATTGATTGATATAATTTAATTATATTGATAATATTGGAAATAGTGAAGTTGTGTTAAATTTGAATTTTGATTGGATTTTTTCTTTTATTTGATAAACAATCACACCCTAAAGTGTTGGGAGATGTTCAATATACAATTTATTAGTTAATTATCTTGACTTTTTTTTTGGTCATTATAATTATCAGATTTTATGATTATAACGTATTCTTATTTATTATATTGACAACCATTTTCAATAGGACATACCTCTGCATAGAGACATACATCCTTGAAAAATATATGAACTTATACAATAACGATAACAATCGATTCTTAATAATTTTGCTTAATTGTGTGAAACTATAAATATCTTTTTAGCATGCACGTTACTATTTGATTATTCAATTAAGAGCAAATAAAGACTCATGAAAAGAATACCTAAAAAAGACAATATATCATAGGCTCATAGCATGTGAAATTATACCAAGGACCCCAATTAATGAATGATATACATTTTTTAATGTTTTTTTTTTTTGGTACTATGAATGATATACATTTTTCCCTCATTTTTTTTTAGCCAGCCACGATATTCGGAGCTATGCCCCGACTAATTCGTTGGTCGACCCTGGTCGCACACCTGGCAGTGGAGGGTGAGTCTCCCAACAAAAGTTTTCTGCATCCACAAAGACTTAAACCCGAGGCTTTGGTTAAATGACATCAAGCTACTTACCACTTGAGCCAACTTACGTTGGTCATTTTAACCCGTCATAAAATTACTTATAATGACAATAAATGCAAAAATAAATTGACAACAACACATCACCCAATTTCCATCAAATAAACCAATCCCATGAGTTGGGTTGACAAGAGTCATTCAAAGTCTCATTTTCACTAAAATGTTTAGATGTCCTCTTTTTGCACCATTTATTTTTTTTTTTTCTTATGTTGCAAGCTAAAACTGCCCATTTTACCTAAGCTAAAGAAACTTCACTGATTTTGTCACTTCATTGTAATTTAGCTGCAATTTGAGGTTGGATATGTAAATTAGTATGTGATGATGAAATTTTATGCACAACTCAGCAATCTTAAAAAAGAATTTAAGTTATATATCAATGCCTTCATCATTGACTCCCATAAAAGCAACTAAAAATATCAATAACCAACCCTTTATAAACACATTACTCATTCTTTTTTTTTTTTTCATTTATTAATTACTTATTTGATTTTATTACATTTGTAAAACTTTTTTTTTAAGCAGATACACATATGTTAAAATTGAAACGTAATACTATAAAAAAGTAATATAAACGATAGAATAATATTTTGTAACTTAAACATACATTTTTGTATAAAGTTATGACTGATCGACCTGCCCGATTATTGGTCTGTTCGGCGCAATAATTTGTGAATTTATCATATGAAGTTTGTATTCATAGTGAAACTAATAACACAAGTCTAAGTCCAGTGTTCATTTTTTAATAGTTTGACCTCCATTATTTTAATACAAAAAGGCTTAATTCTCTAATATATATAAAATATGTTTCTTGTTATAGAATTTTTTAAGGTGGAATGCAGAACAAATCAAGGGGGTTGATGATAGATTTTGGTTATTAAGCCATAATCAAGTGCTAATAACATGTTTCTTGTTTTAGGTAGTGTACCTATTCTTCATTATGACTATATATATAGAATAGCATAATGAGATGTGAAAGCTCTAACACGTACCAACTCCCAAAACATAATTAGAAAAAAGATTAAATTATAAAAAAAAAACTCCCCAATTATGGATATTTATCAAAAATAACATTTTTTGAATTTAATCTGTTAATCAATTATGAGTTGTCTCACATCGTTCATATATGGAAAATAGACCCACCTTATATGTTTAATGGGATGCTCCTCCTTCCACCAATTGGTTTTGGGATGGAACCCTACTTGGGCTTCATATGAGTTTTTCCCGCTTGAGTTTTCCTCGTTTTTGGTGCGCTTCATTTTAGTGGACCCGCACCCGTTTTTCTCCCAATTTTTTACACAATCTATGTGCACAATTTGTAAAATTGACCAAATCAAGGACAATTTTTAGTTGAAAATCAAAATTTCACACGAGAAATAACAAGCCATCCACACAAGTACTTTAAAT